TAGTTTTTGAATTTATTTACTTTATTCAACAAATATTTGTATAATTGTGAATTTTTTTTAAGTAAAATCAAAATTGCGATTTTAGTGATAAACAGAATGTAAACAGGTAAATTTGGTTTGAATGTGAGTAGTATTCTGACAGCAATACAGCATACAATTCAGTGGAATATCCACTGACCACTATGGACACGTCATATATTTTAAACTTTTACGATATTGATGCTAATATTTAAAAATTATACTAAACACTAAACAGTATACACGCTCGGCAGTTGCCGAATTCCGAACTTCATACGGGTTTGAAGCTATTTTTTGGACAGTATAATAATGTACCTACATAATAAAACAATAATTGTATACTATTATTTTTTATTTATTTTATATTCTAATATTAATTATGACTGATGACTGATTATATACTAAAAGCTTGCGCATACCTATAATGCATGCATTTTCAGTTGGCGTGTACTCATAATAGACGAATTTTCATTAAGGTACACATATAAATCCAAAAATAGGGAACCATAAATAGGTATACGTCGTATACCCGCGTATACTCACCAATACTACACTGCACAGTGCACACGTCAACATCATTGAAACAAATTGTCAAAATACTATTGTCGCCTGTCGGGGACACGAAAAGTAGCGCGTCACGTGAAACCGCCTCGATCCTAGCGGTAAAATCATCTAATGTGTTCTCAAACCTCTAAAATAAATTGGTTAGAGATTTAAAAATACACATTTCATGCTACACATGTGAAAGACGCCGTAAATTGAAAACCATCGTTTGCTGACAGATGAGGGTCGACGTACACACCAGTTTTCGTGTCCTCGACTATAATATGAATTTGTATAACACCACTCGTTACACATAACCAAAACCGAAGCCTGAAAGCATATGCAAGAAGAGTGATGTTGTAGGGATCCAGCGAATGGTCATTGGATTCGGTACTCATTAGTCACAGATGACCATATGATAATATAGGCATCTGTGTGAACGTGTATTCAATAATATGTATACACTGAGATTCTGATGATAACCAGATGACACCCTTTTTAGTCATTGGCTACAAAGGGAGGTCATCATTGCAACCATTTAAATGTAGTTTATACCGATTTTAAAAATGCAATCATTAAAGTCGGTCATTTACTATAATAGTTTAACTTAACTTAAATCATCCAAAGAATATACAGTTTAAAATTTATAAATACATATTTATACACTATAATATTTCTAAACGTTATTATGACCTATAACTTTATAAGTGTTATTTTTAAAATATTATTGAAAATGTGTCGAGATTCGAGACGTCTTCGAAAACATTATTTCCTTTCATTTTAATTATTTTAGTCCATGACTAAAATAATTGTGGGTAAAATTGTTTATTATTGCTATTATAATCTAAGTATGAATTAAATTATTTCCTTCTATAAAAAAAAAAAAATTAGTAATGCTGCTCCTATAATATTATAGCGGTACTTTTGTGAATTCCAAGTTCCGACATAATTTTCGATGTCGACAGTGGTCGACAATACAATAATCTATTGGAACTGCGTTATGATAAAAATTAAAAACAGCACTTCCACAACAAGGACGGTGTTCCATATTATTTTAAATATATTATGCTACTACATAAAATAACAAGTATTAAAATATGATAAAAATATTGTTATTATAAATGAATAATGATTATTGATAAGCACAATCTAGGACAAAGCCACTATTAGGAGACGTAATATTGTTTTACAGTTATTTTTTTATAATTAATAATTAGTACATTTCTCACATTTTCTTATTTTGATTTTATAAACTAGCATTTTTAATTTATAAATAAACTTCATAAATCTATTAATTTTTGATAAAATATATAAAATGAGGAATTAAAAATAGAAAATTCCGAGTACCTAAACAATGTGCAATATGTACATTGTACAAACAATAAAGTTAAAATGTCAAGTTTATTTCATCTATAAATTATTATTGTAGCAACTAGCAAGTATTAAATATTAAAACAAATGTTCAGTATTGATAAGAAATATCTTTATTAAATTATTTAAGTACAACAATATTATACAAAATTTAGAAGTCAAAAATCGAATGGATATTAAATTGAAAATTCGACAATAATTTATGTACAAATTTTTCTACTTTTACTTATACAAATATGCAATGAATTGTCACAAGACACTTGTTTGATTTTCATGACATCGACAATGGACTATAATAATACTTATATGTATACTATGAATTATGATCATTATTATTGATCTAAAGCTTGCTGACTTTTATATTATGTAAAAAAAAAAAATAATAATCTAAAAATAAATTCCATTGAAATAATCGATGGGTAATTGCCACAAATTGTATTTGTTTAATTTTATTAATCTATATCAACTGTATCTAAACTATCTAACAATTAACAAAGTAATCATTTTCTTTTTCTAATGGGCAAGTGAGTACTACCACTTGGCTATACGACAGGTCACAATTGGGTCACTAACCACTGTAATATATAATATATATAGATATGTTAAAATTAAATTAAATCACAATATATGCGTATATCGTTATAAATAAAAAAAGATTCTGAGTGGAGACTATGTCTATCAGCCTATGTCACTAAATATATTTCATGTTATTTTTTGATATTGTTATTAGGGAAAGCAATTTATTTTACTATTAGTAATGGGCAATAACCAGTAGGTTGAATTAATTTTTGTAGGAAGCATTTCATTTGAAAATATTGTGTATAAGAAATATAATAATATATACGTACAAGTTTTACCTATTTCCGCACGAATAATGTTTTTGACCTATAACAAAATGATGAATGTCGTTATTGAACTATGTAATTTCGTCTAAATTTAAACTTAAAATTTTTACAAAAAAAAAAATACACTTCTATATTTGTTGGTTTTGGAATTAAAAACTTATAAGTAATTTTGTATTACATTTAGGTATAAGACTTAACTATAAAAATTACACATTTTATTAATTTTTAACAAAATAATTTGCATAATTTCGTGATACTGACAAATTGTGTACAAATTTGAATTTCAAATAATTATAAAATTTCCTGCCATACATTTATAAAAAATTTTAGCGGTACACTTATGAAATGTTGTATTACATTTTCAATTGTTTATTAACATTTTTTATAAAAATAAAATAAAAAAATTTAATTTAAAACTTCTTTAGATGGCATGTAAGTCAATAAAAAAAAGAATCATATACGTACATAGAAAATGATAAAATAATAATTGTAATAATGTGCTTCTAAGCAATCATAATTAAATATTTAATTACTGTATAATAAAATAAATAATAATGACTTTTAGTCGGATCACAAGAACGATAGATAACACACACACACACACACAGGATATTAACTATAAAAAGGCCAGTCACAGACACAGTGTCCTTATTGTCTTTTTGTAATTTTGTATATAGACGATCACAAGCGAGAGTAAAAGACTACGCAGATCGTATATACAAGGAGACATAAGCATTGAAGATTGTTAATAGTAAAAATTAAATATATATCATGTATTCAAATTTTATAATAAAGTTAATGAGTTTAATCAAATAAAATAAGTGTTGTAATTTCTTAACGCATACCGGTCACCTTTCAATATATCCAATACATCCATAGAGAAAACATTGTCAGGAAGAAAAAAAAAAGGTAATATATAAGGTACTATATATCTATAAGTCCTTTTAAAATTATTACATTATTTTATAGAATTTTACAATATTTAAGATTGTTCATTTTTGAATTAAAACAAAATATTAAACATAAATATTTATCTTGTACAAGTGAATATCCAATGCCGTAAATTTTAATTTCAATAAGCAGTTATAAACAATTATTTTGATTTTTCAGAAATTTTTTTTTTGTATACATATAGTATTGTTTGTGAAATTTAATATAACATTTTCAAATCTTAAACATAAAGAAAATTTTTATTTAAGATTTTTCTACTACATAATAATTTGTAAGTATTCGAAATGTTAACAATATTATAACATAGAACAATTATAAAAATTGTATGTATATTGTATATGAATATGTATTTTCCTAATTTATAGTTGGAGAATTGTTTGTTTTTCCGATTATAAAAATATTGAAAATTGTCAGTTTAGACCTCTCAAAAATACAAATCAGATCAAATTTTCTCTCTAAACCCATCCTTAAATATGAAAATTGAAGAATTTCCTCATATATAATCATAATAAATTTTAAACACACAAATATGTCACATCACTGTAAAATCGCTTTGCTTAGATTGCTTAGATTCTAAACGATTTATAATATATTGTTTGTTTTTTTTTATATTTTCCTAAATGCTATTCCTAGACATTATGTAACTATGTAAGGCATAATACGAACATTATATCTATGAAAAGTACTTTTTGTTACCATATTATATTTTATACTTATAAAATCATAAAAACATAAATAGATCGAATTATGTTGCATTAGTGTTTGTCTATTCTCTGCATAGGTATTAGTACCTACAGAAAAATAATACACAATTTATTAATTGGGGAAACAGGAACTACGTCGTATTAATAATACCCAATACGGCCTACAGTAATAACTAATAATAAACTAACAAGTAAGAAGTAATAAAAATAAACTAATAAATAATGACGCACGTGGGATCGTTTTTGATATAATATTATGTTATATATAATATAATGGGCGATAGCGATATAGATTATTGTAGACACAACATCAATACAATGAACAAAACAAAAATAAAATACCAAATTCCAAATTATTATTTATTAATAACACCGTAGTTCCCGTGACTACACTTATTCCAAAGGCAGTGGAGAGTAATTCGATTAAATTAGTACGTTTCGCCGTTAGGTTAGATTACAAAACTCATATTTGTGGTACGAGTTGTAGTGTCGATTGTACGAACATACCGGATATTCCGATTATTATCAGCTTGTAAATGGTGTAAGCACGGAGAGTAGAAATACTAGAAATTAGTGATTGTTGTTTTGTGCGCTTGTGGCGTTGTTTTATTATTGTGCTTGTTGCCGTAGTCGGAGTTTATTCTTCTACGGTTTATCCATGACAATAATTTTAATAACCGTGTATTTTTAGTCTAGTAACTGCGATTAAAAACTGTTTATTAAGTTCATTTACAATCCGTCTTTTGTCATTACATGTTATACGTTGGGTGAGTAAAAATTTTTAATTTCTCATTGTCTCAACTCAAAGCTAACGGCAAACAGGCTAGTAATCTGATGAATCGTAAATTTTAATAATATTTTTGGTAAAATCAAATTTTCTTTTTCATGATAAAACGAGTTTCTCCGTTCTCAGCAGTTATCGTTGGACTGTTCAATCTGTTGATTAGTAATAACTAATTACTATTGTCACTATTCGCAATTAATTTATATTTATTATACATTTTAAACAGTTATCATTATACACTGTACAATTATTTAACATGTTTGATTTTCTCTCTCATGACTCATACTAAACGCGAATAATTGTATCTTTTTTTTTTTAGAACTTGTTTTCTACTGATTTTGACATTTTAACTTGTTTTACGCTTTGGACACATCCATATTCAGCATAATGGAATTATTGTAAGTACCTATTTATTATACCTATTATATTGTAATCCTTACAATTGTTTTAAATAAATTGTTGTAGATAGATATGAATAGGTTCAACCTTTTTTTTTAAATATTTCTTATAATAAAAATTAGTTGATCTAGGATTAGCTCAATTAGAAATGGACAGTATCTAAGAAACTTGTATCATATATTCATATGTCATTAAAAATTTATAAATTGTGTCTAAATATTTTTGTTTCTGGTGTATCTTTGTATCTTTTATGTGTCTAAAGCAGCGGTTCTCAAACTTTTTATTTCGCGTACCACTGAAGATTAAAAATCCTACCACCATGCGGCCTTCCGCAGTTCCGCGTACCATCATGTAGTCTTTCGCGTACCACAGTTTGAGAACCGCTGGTCTAAAGATATTGGATACAAATGAAGATTCATTATTTTATTTTGTTTTTTTTTAAATAAAAAGCCGAGAAATAATAAGTATTGTACATTTTTCTAAATTATTGCAAAAATATAACTATTGAATGCAGATATTTGTGTATGTATAGTGTATAGCTTTTATAGCTGACATAGACGTATAATTGTTTTTATTATTCGAGTTTCTGACAAATGGTTGTCATTCTACGTGTAAAATTAAATAATATATTTTTTTTCACAAGTATATGTAAATAATATATTTATCAATCTTACTATAGGTTTTACAATGAATTTTATTGTTAGTTTGTTAATTATATTACCCATATATGTCTGACTACAAAGTAAAATTACTACTTTTTTCAAGTGTTTTATTATCCATCCCTCGTATATTATTTCATAAAAATGTATTTTGTATCTAGAAATAAATTTTATGCACCAAAGATACATGATATTAATTTTGTATCTAGATACTAACTTTCTAGTATCTTGTCCAATTGTGCATCTTTATGCGCAATGCTTTAAAAATGTAATAATATTTTTTACAATTAATAACTGAAACTTAGTTTGGTTTACACAATTCTTACAATCTATTATTTTAAAATATGTATTTATTTTACACTATTTATAGTTTGCATTTTTGATTGGAATATTATCATAATTCAACATCATAAATCAGAATATTTAACTCCAGATTTATTAGTTATTACTTATTACTAACACATTTACTAATACATTTTATTTTTATTTTTTACATTTGAAATTTAAATAAAAACATTTGAATTTATATCGTTAAATTTTTAAATAATAAAAATACCTTTAGACATGTTATAAAAATGCAACTTATTCCCATATCTTATTGAATATTTTTTATGCAAACTTATGTTACTTGATGTATGAAAACAATGGTGCAATCAGAATTTGTCACTAGGTTCCAGGACATAGATTTTGATGTTTAATTATTTTTAATTTGTCAATTTGTATTTATCATTTGTATTTATCATTTGTATTATTATTGCCATTGTGACCCAATTAGTTTGTAAGACCTTGAGTTTTTCTATCTGAGTCTGAAGAAGTAAGGAGCAACTACTTATCATATTTTAACTGGAAAGGTTGCTATATTCCAAAAGTATACACAATTCATGATTATCATACTGAAATGTCTTAAAGAAAGTCTGATCATTGGCTATCCTAACCTTAGTTAATTTAATATTGTGACTACCAGTTCCGATCTCAATAACAATGATAATGCGAGTAATAAATCTCAAATTGGCATACTTCAAATGGCTATATTTTTTTGAAACTAAATTTTAGCAACAAATTATGATCGCACCATAATATTTCACTTCTCAAGTTACACATAAATTGGAATAAAGTATATTCAAAATGATTTGGTCAAATTAAACTGTATTTATTTGGGATATCAACATTTTTATCAAATTTCATCATATTTATCAAAATAATTGTTTAACTTAAATGTATCAATATGGAGATCATGCTCAAAATATATTCTAAATGTTTTAATTAATTTAATTTAAAATCAAATAAAAGAAGAAAATGAATAATCACTCGTTTTAAATTATGTATTGAGAGTACATTGTCATTAAGGAGTAAATCGCTGTAACATTTGTGTTAAATTTGAATTCAATGATTAATTATGTATGAAAACAATTCTGAGCAGATAATTTGTAGGTCAATATTAATTAGTTTATTTTATAATTTTTATGATTTATTCATACTAATTATACTGCTAATTAGTTAATTTTGTTTATTTTTAATGAATGCCATGTTGAATTATTTTTTGTTGAAATCATTGTATATGTAAAAGACATGGTGTATACAGAATATATTAATACATTTTAAACATTTCAAGTATCTATAAATAATATTTTTAAATTATTTGTCTATAACTTCTACTTATAATGAACTTTGTATTAAATTTTCAAATTTTTTGACCCAGTGACATTTGTCTCAAAAATACTAAAGTTTTTATGCTACATTCCAAAGCCCTTTTTCCAGTCCCATAGTATTCTACACTTAGACGGATAAGAGGCCAAAAGCTGTATGTCTAACTTTTCTCAAAATCGTTTTATAAGTCTATTGGGTTAATCTGGGTCATCTTTTTGATTTGGTAAAATATAAGTCATTATTGTAATTAAAACATGTTTTATTTATACTTCAATTTTTGTAATTTTAGTGTAAGTTAGGTATTTTAGTGCACACATATTATAACCAATCCTAAATTATTGAGATATACAATAAATATTTTATCCTGGTCTAAATATTAAGCGGACAAATATACAAGTCCGTATTTATTACTTTTGTCAACATTTTGTATGTGTAATGATTTAGATAATATTGAATTTGTTAATCTAATTATAAAAATAAATATGTTCGGACGTATGTTTTAGAAAAACTATTTTTAGTGCATGCTGTTAGATTATTATTATCACTGATGAAACGTCAACATGTCATAATAATGTTATTATTAATTATTATTGATACAATTTTAATATTATCATTTTTTTATTTTTATTTGTCCGCAATATTTTGTTTTTTTTTTCATATTTCATTAAGAAAATCATACGTTTTAAATTTTTTTATTTTTATTAGGTAGTTATTATTACACTCTAACTAAATAATTAATAAAATACATTATTTTTTTTAGAATTTGTCAATAAATTATGTATTTAATACAAATTATAACCCTGATTATATATGATATCTTTAATTAGCATAAAATAACATTAAAGAATTGGGTTTTATTTGACTAAAAATTTGATAAAAAACACTATTTTTATTTTTTTATTACTTTTTTTATAACATATGTATATATAATTTAATATATCAAAAAAATGAATCTAAAGTAAATTTTAACTGTTTATATTATTAATTAATTAGAATTTCTATTAAATTAACATTTTTTAATATGTCCATCAAAACCTTGTATGTTCATGGTAAAAATATATTATAATTTCCAGTAATAACAAATCCCATTTAAGTATTAAAGAAACATTATTACGTTTAAAAAAGTATTTAAGACCTAAAAGTAATCATTTATGTAATCTACAGAATTTTTTCACTAAGAAATCAATTGCAACACTGAAAACAAAAATATACAACAGAAATTGTTTAGTATGGAATAATTTTAAATCTTAAAACTGCTCTCCTGTAAAATTTAGTGTTTTTGACATACAACTTTGGCCTCTTGACCATCAAGTCTTATAGTGATATATCATTAATTTTTTTTTTATCTTTTGATACCACATAATTACTAAGAAAACATTTGTTTTGATAAAATTGTCTTAGTTATTTTTTTAATTTTACTGTAGACATTTGGCACCAGAGACAGTCAATTTTCATTGTCCATATAATGCGTCACATACAATGCCACAAAAGACATTAACTAAGCATTTAACAAAGTGCCCAGACAAACCAGCCCATTTTAAACATTGTATTTACAATTTATCACATGTAATGCCTGAATCAGAGTTGAAGGTAAAGTAAAATTAGTATATTAAAATCCATAGTTAAATTATTTTTAATAATTACTCATTAAAATTTTGTATTAATTTTAGGATCATGAAGAAAATTGCCCAAATAGAATATTAATTGATGTGGTTGTTTATCAATCAGAAGATATGGTACGCCCAAATTCTAATGTAGAAAATGCACCATCAATTAAGTATGATGAATCTTGGGATGGCGTAAGTATTTATACTATTCTGTTTTAAGTTAATACAATTTTAAGGACCATTAAATTAGTAAACTAGAAATAAAACACAATCAGTTATTAGTAGTACTCCAATATTTTGTGGGATATCCCCATACAACTTCACTATTAACCTAAATTTAAATACTTATAAGTTATTCTAAAAATAATTTTTTACAAATTTTAATTTTTATGTGTTGAAATACTTCAAAAATATTTATGTTATCATTTAGAAAGTAAAAAACTTATAAAAATATTTAAAAAATAATATATTTTTTGAAAATGTTTTTTTTAACTGTGAATTATATAAAAGAAATATTTTCAAAAATGTTGATAGTTCTTGAAATAATGTGTAACTTATGATAAAATAATCTTGGTTTATGGTGTCCTCATTCCTTCTTTTATGTACCAGAAGTCCAATAATTTAATGTCGCTGTTGCATTTTATGAAAAGTTTTTGTTTATCATTAAATTGTAATAAACGAATCGTGTAGAATTTTTATATTAAAATAAAACTGATATCTTAAACCAATATCTATTAATAAGTAATTACTATTCATTCAAGTTCCTATAAAGATTCTTAGAAAAAAAAAAGACTATAGTTATTATAAATATTTAATGATTAAATCTAAACCACTGACGCAACCATGTTCTAACTTATAATTTTAAAGTATTATGCTATTTTATATATTATTTATATTATATTAATATTGATGTTAAATATTATTACAAGTATTGACTAGAATAACATTTTTTAATTTAATGATTACAGTTTATCATCTTATAACAAATGACAATAATAGTTGAAATATTATGGTTAATTATACTGTCTTATCAATAAACAACTGTCTGTATATATAGGTGCGGCATAAGTCGATTCCCCAATTAACACAACAAATTAAATATGTATATTGTATATAGATTTTATTTATATTATTAAATAATTACAAAAAATCACTGGTTATGCTCAAACTGATGACCGTCTTTTTCGATGCAACTGTGGAAGCAAGAGTCCACAGAACGGCATGTGCCGACTTATGCCGCACTCTGTATATATATATATATATTTAATAATATGCTTGTGAATTTGGATTTATTTTTACAATTTTAGTTAAAATATTGGGTTTTAAAAAAAAAAAATTTAATAAATAACTTATTGGGCCTGTTCCTACTAAATATATCACTATTCTATTGTCTATCTATATTTTTTATATGCATTCAGTATAATCCTTTTGGTAAATTAAGAGATCAATCAAATTAAAACATGTAAATTTATTCATTTTAAGTTGGAACAAACCTCTGAAATTCTGCAAACTATCAAAACAAAAACAGCATCAATGAAAGCAACTCATGGCATTACAAAATCAGAACGTAAACAACATCGCATCAATTTACATGAAAATGATATTCATAACGTAAATATAAAACACATTAATTATATACTAAAAAATATAATTTTATTTTAAAACATGAAATTGTAACTAATAATTTTCTAATGGTTTTATATCATTAATAATAATTGTCTTTAATTTATTTTAATATTTATTCATATAATTATGTTGTTACATTTACATTACAGTTAATTGAAAAAAAAAATTGTCATATTCAAAATTTTAACTATTAGTAAATATAGATAATACTATAATATTACACAACTAATGTTTAGATGATTAAAGAGGACGCTACACCCACATTTTTTGTTGTCTCTATCTTACATCCATACAATTAAGCAAATGTATACCAAGTATTATAACCCATTATGTGTTGTTAGCTTTAATATTAGAATTAATTTACCTGTTATCAAAGTTAGGTTAGAAAATTACCAGAGATATAGCGTTGTATTTTCTTAATATTTTAATTTTAAGAAAGACATGAGTTAGTAAAATATTACGAATTGAAAATGATTATATCTAATTTGAAAATTAGAATATTGAAAATAATACTTCATCATTGATAATGTTCTTACCTTTAATTTTGATAATCTGCATCTGGCGTCCTCTTAACTTAAGTACACTTCGTAGAAATAATATTTCTTATATAATTTAGGGGATTGAAAGTAATAATTTTCTGTTTTATCTAACACTGTTTTTCAACACACTGGGTGTGTTGCTGAATAATTTTTAAGCATACTAAATGACAAAAAATATACAAATGTTTTGGTCAGAACTTAAAAAAGTAAATAGGTATTAGGTATAATTTCTTTGATGATTAATGAATTAGTATTATTGACACATTTTACATTATCAATAAAAATTAAATATAACCCGTTATTCTTTTATTTTTATTATGTTGCCATACCATATAAAGGTTGAAAAAAAGTAGTTTTTTCTCAAAAAATTGTAAATTTTATTTTTAAATATATATTTTTCAGGGTTTAGGGAGATAAAATCATCACATCATAAATGTTGGAAAATTTATCTCATATTCTCATGTAGGCTTTAACACTTATTGATTTATTAGAATATTAATAAGTTAGAAATAGACGCACTTAATTCCTACATCCTACATTAAGCCTGTGTTAACAAATGAAAAAAAATCATTACTTTCAATCCCCCTAAAATTATTCATGGATAATAACTTCATTAAATTTGTTGTATAACGTTTTTTACTTACACTATTTTTTACTTAATTTTCAAATTGTTTAGGTCAACAATAAAGGCTTACAAGATCAGAAGAAACAGCAGAATAAGAAAAAGGAAGCTACTCCGTTGTTCATTGGAAAAAGACCCAATACATAAATATTATAAGTTGTAATACACTAGAAGTTTCCATTTATTTGACTTAACTAAGATTTTATATAACAGCATTTATGGTATATTATTTTTATTTTTACTTTTTCATATTTTGATTAGTTTTTAAAGTATTACATTACTTATTTTAATAATTTTGAAAACATTTTAAATAATTAATAATGTTAAACATCTATTGTAAAACAGATTTAATTTTATTGCATTTCTTTTAACAGTTTGTTCAAAAAAAAAAAGGATAGTTATTAATTTAATAAGTTTTATGGGTTTTTTTTTTTTTTTACCTTGTTTGAAATTTTTCATGTGATTATTTCCTTAAATCCTTAAGACTTATTTTATATGTTGTAATCCCAGTAATTGTTAAGTAAGTGTGTTTTTATAATATTAATAATAGTTTTTTTTTTTAATGAAGTAGGCTATATTTTTTATCATCTCCCATCTACAGAAATATGAATAATAATTATGATGTATGGATGGTAAATTACATAAGTGTCTTTGTTTTACTGTTACATGCTCTTAAACTTCAATTTAAGAACTTCAACAAATTTTAACTTTCTAATTATTTAAGTTACCTGTGTCACAGTCTTGACCCCCACATCATATTTTTTGGCTCTGATACAGAGTTAAATCTGGGCCCCTTATAGATAACAATAATTTTTTTTAGCATGCATATACCTTGAATATTAATTTAATGTATAGATTATAAGAGTAAGTATAATTAAAAAATAAAATATCAACAAAATTATTGGTATTTTTTATAAATTGAAAACAAAGCAATGGTTTTTTTTTTTTTTTTAATAGATACTAATGATACCATTGATGCCCCAATGTCGCGAGTCGGCTTAGCCAACCAACTACTATATGGTCTATATGTTTTATAGGAGTTATATCGATGCACAACAGATCATTATTAAGTGTCCTTTCTAGGAAAATTAGCATGAAATACATTAAACAAATATTTTCAGGGCTATTCTCTGCTTTTTAAAAAGTTATTTTTAGGGCTATTTGCTTTAGTTTTATGAAACAGTTTAATCGTTTAATGGTCTTCTCTGAACCAATAAATATCATAATTTACTTTCATTCTAATAATTATATTTAAATATAAATTTATATTGTCCTTATTTTATGTTTATTTAATAATAAAAAAAATATTTTTATTAGATTTTTAATTATTTTGTTCTCTTAATCTATATTTTATTTCAAATTCATTGTAATGTAATTTTATTCTTTACTCGGAATCGTTTTTCATCATATTATATATACTTATCGTTAGTTTTTAAATTTAACTCATTCAATGTGTACCTACCTATTCAAATCAAAATACAGTTGTATTATTTTATTTATAAATTATAGCAATAATTTATTTAAGTATGTTGTTTACGTTGTTTTTTTATTCTTTTTAAAACTTAAACACAAATAGTTAATTTTATTTTATAATAAAATCACTGTGTATTAAAATTCAATAAAAATAAAAATACGATATGAATATGATTTGCTCTACTGTTAAAATTTGATAAATCTAGTGAAATGTGTAATGTTCGATAAATACTTCCGCACAAAGCAAATTTTACTAAATCATAAAATAGCAAAATGAATTAATTTTTCATATTAAAATAAATTGTTACTTTCTTCGCGTTCAACATGACATCATAATTGACAATTTTGTGGCGATACCGCGATACCTCAATACACAAAATATATCAGTTTTCTCCATTATAAATTACTTTAAAGTTTAAAGGTTTATCGCTCTTTTAGTCACTGCCAAAAACCGGTCTAAGAATATGTTATTTGCCATCAGTAATAATAATATAATATTAAATATTAATTCATACAACGTTACTTATCGGCAGCTATTATAAATAAAATTTTAGTCTGAAAATCTTTATATCATTGCCTATTTATCTATTCTATAGACTATAATCAATGGTAGGTAAATAGGTACTATAAATGACTAATGAGTCATTTCCGTGGATATTTTCTCTATTATTTGATGATTTAGTGTATAATGAAAATTTAGAAAATATTTTACCGTTAAAATCTTAAGATATAGCTTTTCTCATTTTAAATATGTTATCGTAATTACTAATTAGAAGGATCCATAAGTCGTGGTCAAACGAATCGTTAATATCGATTTTGATTGTAAAGAGAATACTTATTTGTATTTTCATGATCACAAACTAGTATATTTTTAATAGTGTATTTGTTTAGCTTCTTTTGATTGAACAAATTTACTTATTAACCGAGTGTTTAAGACTGCTTTTTCTTTTCTGATATCCAGATCTGTGTTCATAAAAAGACATTTTGAGATTGAATAATCGAAATAAAACAAAAACTTCTAACATTTACATTTATGTGTAAAATGTATGTTTACACATAGTATATAAATAATAATACAACGATATAATATCTAAATAAGAACTAATGTATGATTAGAAAAACATTTTTCCATTAATATTACACAACTAAATTATTAGTAACAAAAATATCACATCGTTAGATTTTATAAATGAATCAGTTTTAGTTACCTATTAGTTTGGGAAAGATGGGGAAAATTTTATGGGCGATCAATGTTTTTAAGTAATTAATAAATATTGGTGAGATATATTATTTAAGATATAATTATAAATCATATATTTCGCATATGATTTTCTAGTCGATTTAAAAAATCTTAAAATAATATTTGAATTCTGATAAAAATGTATTCAAAATATTTTTCTAATATATATTGAAGTAATTATTTGCATGATCGCCGGGCCAATACCATGGATCCTCCCTTCTCCGTGTGGGGGCTCTGGGCCGGGCTACAAAATATCATTATTTATTACAATAATACATTACTATAACTCATTGCAAGTGTCTGCAATTAAATTATAATGTATCATCATTGAATGTGGTCAGTTTTTTACAACAGATTTCCACACACTCTAAGGACATCTGCAAGGCCACGGGCCTTCCATAACAAGGAACCTACTTATTTATCAGTCATCCCAAGAAAGCAGTAACAGGGAGATGGACCATAGTCGTTAAGACCTGCCGAGCCCATTAATGCCACTCAGCCACAATCTTAAGAAATAACGTGTACCGGTGTACCTACTTTATTTTACACTAAAAAAATAGGTAACATAAAGTATTTGTTCGCTGTTATAATTGTTACAACTATATTATTCAAAAAAATTACTTAGGTATAACTTGATCGCTGAAAGTACCCGTCTTATAAGAAGTTAAAATATTTTCAAAATAAGGTTTTCTATTCTTTCATACAACATTCATAGAGAAAAAAAAACATTTATCAAAGTTCTAGATATTCATACTTAAATATAAACAAATCTAGAACTGTAGAAGCAGTCAAAGTTCAAAATTCACATCAGAATTTAATTAAATTGAAATATCTACTATATTTGAAAACCTAGTTTTATTAGTAATTGGGCTTTTACGTACATACAAATTAGTGACAAAAATAAATTATTTCAGTTATTGCAGACCATCGAGCAAAATTAATTCAAATAAATATAATAATAATGTTATTTCGGAATAAATTCACCTGTTAATATTACATTTTTTAAAACACACCAATGAGTTATGATTTATGAACGACGGCGTAAATGAAATTAGCGATTTTTCTCATAAGAATATTGTGTTACCGTACTACAAATAGCGCGCTTTTCCAGCCATGATATATTATTATCATTAGTTTTTAGTGTTATCACTTATCGCGGCTTGTTGCATGTGGTGATGGTGATGTAGTGCCAGTAGTTAAGTCACAGAATTAATAAATTTAGTATATAAATATTAATGTATTCTGTGATTTAATTATTAAAATTATTATTACCTATATTGAACTATTGGAATTTAGAGTCGAATACTTGTCGATTTTCGGTACACGATACGAAGTTAGTCAATTTGGAATAGGTAATTGTCGGCATTCGTTATTGTAAATCGTAATTCGTAATATACGGACAGATAATAATTAATTAAAAATTTTGTATTTTTAAAAAATGTCTCTTTTTTTAAAAACTTAAACCATAAATCGATCTTGTAGTATTTTAAATAATAAATTTGAATAAATCCTAAACTCTGTTATTCGCATTCTATAGGTATTTTTCAGTTTAAGACTGTTTCATTTCTAGGTAGATACCAATCGCCTATAATTTTTTATATATGTTGTTTTGTAGTTGTAAAATCATATACTATTAATATTGTAAATATTTTTTTATTTAGATGACAGTGTAAATACAAACTTTATAAATGACTTCAATCCCTACTCTGATTTTCTATGTGGCTATGGTGCTGGTGGCGTTTTATATCAACGATCGAAACAGTGCCAATATCAAATTACTTGAATTTTATGAGCATAATGTAAACATATCATTTGGGCCTTTAAAACTAGGAAACGATTCTTCTTGCAATGCACTTGATTTTCAACTGAATTACAAAAAGCATGCAGATCTCGGAGTATTATTTTCCAATTATGCTAATTATATATCCATGGTGAGTTTGTTCAAACTCTGGACAAGCCAACAAAATGATAAAATATTCTTTGGCACTCTAAAGCTCAGCGACAAAACTGTAAATGCTGTAGCAAAAGGGCCTGGACGTAATTTTTTTGAAATGTTTGAGCAAACAGTCAATCTTGCTACAGATATAGAAACAATTTCAACTTATGGCCAATGGACCTTATTACCGCTTAGTGGTGATAGTCGCAGCCTTGAAATATGTACAAAAGACATTAAATCGTTTCAAAATGCATTACTTTATAGTTTCTTCAACTCGGTTATTAGCGAGGATGGTGATAATAAAGCCCAGTCGTTGATTGAAGCATGGATTGCTGCACATGTGAGTGTTGAGCTTTTAGTTCTAAAGGTAAGTCAATATTTATGCATGTTATACTAATATTGAGTATAGTTTTTTGTTCAAATTACATTATAACCAATGTTTATATAGGTATTACATAGATATCGTTATGTACCAAATATTTATGCTACATGTGGTCGAGTTTATTTTGTTGAGGATTGTGGCCATACCTTACAATATCACATGAGTAAGATGAATTTCATTAATAGACTATTAGTGGCCAAAGAGTTACTAACATTGGCGTTGGAGCTTGCAGATGGTACGGCTCATAAAAATTATTCATTTTACCTTACCGATTTAACAGCTGATAATATTGCTGTACAGTTGGATAAAACATCAGGATTATTACAATCACTGAAAGTTATTGACTGGAGTGATGTTATAATTGTAGTTAATAACCATAGTATGAAGAAAACTGATAATGGTAATTTTTTACTAGGCACATTTAATTATTATTATATGATAATTTATTTTATTGTTTGTATACTTTGATTATTAGAAATGATACATGTGAGTAAACATATTGATTGTGGACTTGGATGCTTAGCTTATTCAAAAGAAGAAATTTGTCAATCAAGGGTTAGTGATCACAATGTATATGCTGTGTGCAAAGTGAGTTACTACTTTTTTTAATACTATATATTAAACATTGCTTATTTTAGCCAAACAATAAAAATTGGTACTGTTCTGTTATACAAGACTCCCTTTTTTGTAAAAATTGACAATTATGTAATCTAAAACTATTAAAATTTGACGCTTTCATATTTTTACAAAACACCTAATTTATTTTTAACATATCATACTTAGTTCTTTGTATATTTTTAAGTCACTCAAAGATGTTACTGATGTTAGATATGTTAATATAAATGTTATAAAGTTAAGTTTAAGCAGATCTAGTTTTTCGATTTAGGTAGAGAGCAATAATATTTAATAAATACAAATTAGCTATAAAACAAAATAAATAGATTTTGAATCTTAAATTATTATTACTGCATTAAAATCAGAGTAGGACTGTTAAGCTGTTTTTAACTAACGAGTAAATGTAATGTATTTGGACATTATTTAGATTATGGTAGTTGTGATAATAGCCTTGTGTCATAAAACAGGATAGTACCTAAAATTTAAAAAATTCACTTCTACTATTAAATTTTTTTAAGAAAATGTTAAACTATTAAATATAGTTTGTTATATATATGCATAGCAACAATCTATGTATAGATTTCTTATTACAGGTTATTTATAGAAAATAATAGATGGAATTTATATATTATTGAGTTTATAAATTTGTAAAAGAAAATGTGAATTATATTCCTTATATACCAAGGTGAAGAGCTCTTTTTATATTTGAATTTTATTATGGCTTATTAAAAGTATTTAAATAATTTAAAAATCATATAACTCATTTTAAAATAAACTTATGACAATAAATTCTTCATTCAAGTACAGTTCATATTATCCTCCACAAGTTTATTAATATGTAAATTTGCTTTAATATCAACTATATAAACGAGTTGTAAGAATCTAGTAAATTTATATGACAAAGAATAAATGTGATTACAATATCCTCTTGGTATATTTATAAAGAACACTTTGATAGACTTATTATTTGTCTCATTCTCATGACATACTATATTAAATTAATAGTTAATGAAATTAGTATTTATTATAAATATTTGATTTATAAATTGTTAGTTGTTTAATCTTGTCACTAATGTATTTTGTTACAAGTCACTAGTATGCCAATAAGATTCAAAAATAAATTTTAAGTTGATAAACATTAGATAGAGCTTACTTTAATATCTTTTACTGAATTTATTGTGACATAAGAACATTTAGTTTCATAGTTTCTATGTTTTTCTCTTAACATTTGTAAATAATAGATAATTATATTTTTAATGTTTAGGAATTCTTAAGCAGCGATGGTAGACTGTTACATGAAATAACAGACCTAGATGAAACAATCAAGTCACCAGAAAAGGAAGTCAAAAACCTTGCATCTTTATTGAACAATTGTCTGTGGAACTTCAATGTTGAAAAGCAATCTGAATTAAATAGATTAGATACTGCTAAATTGATAATAAAATCAATTCAACTTATTTATGACTCGGAAATATCTGATATTAATAATGATGGTTAATAAATAAAAGTGCATTTTAACCAATAATAATACACCAATAAAAAGTGGATAAAATATTGAGACTGAGTGTTCAGGCCTGCTAACACTGTGATGTTAGTGGTAAAATACAGCCGAACATAATTGACTTCAAACATGGTGGTATAACCAGGGTATAATGTTAGTACTACTGCTAACATTGTTTGTTGACCTTTAAATTTATTTTACCTTCAAAAATTAACTATTAATGTTAGTTTATTTACTTATAGTCAATATTATATTTTGTGTTATCCTAGATTATTTTTAAATCCTTAAAATACTATTAGTTCTACGGAAAATTTGTCTTTTTATGTAACCACAGATTTATTGTACTATTATATATAATTATATATATATTTGTTAAGCATTATTCCATCAATTTTTGAAACTAAAATGATTTTTTTTATTTTATCATTTTTATATTTAAGCTAATGATTTTGTTGTTTAAAATATAATATTACATTAAAAATTAAATAGCGTATGTTGTTTTCTATCTTTTCACATAATTTCAGGTTTGGTATACTCTAATCTAAGTGTGTGTGCATTACAATGACTATTAATCAAAAAATAAATAACTTAAAATATTAATAATTTCATTTGTAATTGTACATAATTTCTTAATGAAAATTTTTTCTTTTACCAAGACAATAACTTGATACTTTTATATTTATTTAAATAATAAAAAAAGAATTTAATGATTGATATTTATTCAACGGTTAGCCAACCATAGTTGTGTACCTCACTTTGTAGAAAGGTACTAAGCTACTAACTGTTAACAAAAGTGCTTTTGGTTTGAATGCTCAAAAGTGTAGTAAAATATTAATGTTCTACCAAAAGTTCATGGTTAACACTTCTGAGATACACTTATGGTCATAATTTTTATTTTTTTTTTTTTATCAAAAAACTATTGTTAAATATTATTAATTAGAATATTTATGTAATATTATAATAATAATTTATTGTTTTTTAGTTCTAATGTTAAGTTAGTGTAGTCATCATTTTGTTGTTTCAAGTCCACAAGAATAAGATACTTTCTATTATTTTTAAAAAAATACACACTTCTATTGGATAAAATTATAACACTTACTACCATTTTAGAGAATATAATCTCCCTACAGTGATCAATGATCAGATATGTACAAGCATTACTTATGCTAAAAGATCTTAGAATGCAATTTAATTAGTGTTTTAAATTGAGGTTCAACTGTTTACAGCATAATACACATGGATGATGGTTCTTACATCACGAAAAGACCTAATTTAATTTTAACTTAGTGGGGATGATACAGGTGCTGAGGTGCCAAGTTTATATGAATTCATTACAACAAATAGTTGATAGCCAAATTTAAAAGACTGGTGGTCGCAACGAGTCTTGACACCAGTGGTATTAGATTTTAATCCGTTGTATGTGAACATTTCACAGAAATATTGTAATTAGTTTCGACATAAATGTCATCACTATATATATATTTCCCCTTCTATACATTCGCCGTGAATGCGTGCCAAAGTAATCAGAATAATTAATTATTATACTTATTTAAATTGTAAATGTTATATCTATTGTTTACGACTTTATGAATTACGGTGAATTGAACAACGGCTGTCGACTGGAGAAATGGTGATAATAATAATAATAATAATATATACGGCGTATAATAATATGGTTTATCATTTACACGATATCAGTTGGAGAAGTGACTTAGATAACAAAATCCTGACTGAAAGCAGTGTATCTATTGGTACAATAATAGCGGGCACCGTTTCTCCGGTACATATGGTTAGTCTGTGAGCGCCTGCATAACGGACAGTGGCGTCGCTATGCGGACCGACTATCATTATTCATTATTATTTATTTTATCATGAGCTGCGGTACCTTCTTTTTTTTGTAGTCAATTTGTAACCAGAAATGTGAATAGTGATTAATATTGTAATTTATAAAATTATTTCGATCACCGTCGAGACCGACTGATCACCTTTTCGGACGAGTTTTTTTTGAAATCCGCTAACTCACAGCAGAACAATGGGTAAACACAAGAAGGCCATCAGTTCGGACGAGTCATCCGATTTTAGCGACGATGTAAGTTTAATAGTATTGTGTTTTAATGTGCACTCTAGATTATTCAACCCGTAACTTTGTGTTTATGTCTGTGTTTGTGTGTCTGTATGCAGGATATGAGCATGGCTAAGAAGAAGAAGCGCTCTAAAGCATCATCACCTCCTAGTCGCAGCTACACACCAAAAACAAAGAAAAAGTCCTCTAAAAAGCCAATTTACGATTCTGATTCATCATCTTTGTCTGAAGGAGAAATAGCCTCAGATGAGGAGCCAAAGAGAAAGCCACAGAACCGGAAGCGACCTGGAAAAAAATATGATATATCTGATGATTCATCGTCGAGCAGCAGCAGTGAGTCTGAAATCCAAAGTCCAGTTCAAGAGATTAGTCAAGGTAAGCTTATAATATTCATATTATACATCAATTTTGTTATTTTCATTGTATACAGTGAGTTCCATTTAATTTGATCATATTGGTACTGGTCGTTTCGATTCAATACTGGTTGATTCCATAAACCATTTTTATCTTTAAAATTTTTTTTATTTGTATACATAATATAACATAAAATGATACATTTAAAATAAGAAAAAGAAACTATCAATTTTAGTTAAGAGTTGAGTGTCTTCTAATTTTATATTATATTAAGCATAAATTTAAAACTATACGATATGTTATGAAAATTTTGTTCAAGTAGATGAAAGTAATTCAATTCTTTATTCAGTACCCGGTGATAGATCAATTCAACATTAGTAATATGAGATTTAGTTTTGGGGGTTTTTTTTTATTTAAATTATTGATTGATACTATAAATCAGTATTTATATTAAGTTAAATTTGGTGTAATTTCTTTATAAAAGATTAGGTTTGACACTGTTAAGTATTGTTCGTTATGTGCTAGAAACAAAAAATTATTAGGAAATTTACTATATTATGGCATGATACATTTTAGTCGATTGTAGTATTGTAGTCAAGTATAACTATTGTGTTTTACTAATACTTCATTTTACAGGTTATTTTTATAGCAAAAAATATAAATTCTATTTTTACTTTATAACTGTATGTATTAATAAATTTAATATTATTAAAATATATTAAGGAGAGTTAAATAGTACATAGCTTTTGTTAAGTATTACTCACAATTTTATATAACCAATGTACATATTAATAACACATTCAATTTTTTATACTACAGTCTTGTTATACATATATTTTTATTATTAAATTGTATTTAAAACATCTTTATATTAGTTAAAAGTCAAATGTTTATTTAATTGAATGGTTTTCATTATGCTTTCAAAATGTTAAATAGTGTTGTATTAAATAATAAATTAATTGTAAAATTATCAAGAAACTATTTTGTTAAAATTTTGGTATCATTGGTTTCATTATGATCACAATAACTTTAATTACCCATTACATTTTAAAACTGATTATATCTGAAAAAATTCCTTAACACATTTTAATGGCTATTCAGGATCAACAATATAGATCATAAAATTAGCTTTTGAAGTTTATAGATCTTTCTTCATTTAATAATCACTTAGGTATTAAATAGTTATAAATACTTAATTTCTCCATTAAATGCATCACATTTTTGTGTAACATACCAACCTACTATTTAATTATGTTTTAATGTCTATAGTAAATTGCTTGAATCATTTACAATTTAATTTTAAAATTAAACCTAAATACATAGTTATGTAAAATAATAAAAAATTTAGCCTTTTTCATAAATAAAGCTTTTGGTGCAAATATGAAGTTATATAAATATAATTATATTAGACGAACAACTATTAAAATTATTTCTTAGTTTATCTACAGCATATTATTAACTCATAAGATACTGATGTATTGAACTTAAAAGTTAAAATAAACAATATTACAGAATATAAAATTTTATCTTAATTTTAATGATAACTATTTGTTAACTATTTTCTTTGATTTAAACATGGTTGGTCTATGAATTTTTACTTTAACACTGTATTTAAATATTTTACTATCACCATACTTCTACTGCATTTTTATTTTATTTATATAATATGTCAAGATTAAATATTTGTTTTGTTCAGCATTTTTATGTTTATTTTATTCATACAATTTTTGGTAATATTATTCTGCTTTAAATGTTTATAGTTTCATATAATTTTCCAGTATATGATCCCATACTAGACAATTTTAGTATAAGGAAATTGCATAACATATAATATATACAGTAAAACCTCTCTATAATGGACCTTCCATAAGATAGAATTTTCCTTTTAACAAAATATATAAATATTTCTGGTTCAAATAAAAAATGTTTTTCAACCTTACTTTAATGCAAAACTATTTTTAGCTGAAAAATGTATTTGTTTAAAGTAATTCTATAATAGATAAATTTTACTATAAGCATAAAATACAAATTGTACACTGGTAAAATAAACCTATGTTAATACAATTTCTGAACTACCAGGTTATCATTTTCACTCATTATTATTACTAGATTTAATTTTCAGGTTTTATTATATTAATACTGAGTACATGCATATTATGAAGTATTAATGAATAAAAAATTTAAACTATTTGTTTAACACAGTTTTATATTAAACAGTTTTTGTGAACACTTGAGAAAAAAATCAGGAATTAGGGAATATTTAGTTTCTTTAGAATGTTTTAGAGTATTTTGTTAATTATGTTAAAAATAAATAAATATTTTACCTGTGAAATTTACTTTTATAAATTTTATTGCATCATTTACTAATAAAAAAAAAAAATAACTTTATTTTATGTTACTATGAATTTGTTTACTGTTTTTTATAATTATAAATTTTCTTATTTTTAACAATTTGTAACTTTTTCAAAAAGTTACAAATATTCAAGCGTGTATCTTTTTGTTAAAAATTTACATAGTTTAATGTTTATCAATTATTTTTGCATATTTTTCTCATTTTTTAAATAATATTGGAGATTCTTTCATTTTTTATTTTAATATACAAATCTTTAACCTATTTATTCATTCAGTTTTGTTATTAGACACAAAGAATTATTACATCAAAATGGACTTTTTAACACTTAGTTATATAATAAAAAAATTAATTGTTAAATTAATGATTTCTTTACTAAATAAGTTTAAATTTATTTTTTTAATTAATTTTTAATGTAACTATTTACTCATTGAAGTATTTATGTACCTAAGCGAAAACAATTTACTTATCATTAACCAGTGTAATAAATATTACTAGTTTATAATACATAAATAAACAGTACACACACTATATACAAATTAGTTTCATGGTTAAATTTAAATTTATTTGATTGAAATATTTTTATTTATGTTTAATGAACTTATTTTACTTTTACTTATGTTACAGTTAGTGAATCTTCTGAAGATTCTGAAGAAGAATTCAATGATGGTTATGATGAAGAGTTGATGGGAGATGATGAAGACAGAGAACGTCTAGCACAAATGACTGAAAAAGAACGAGAAACAGAAATATTTAAACGTATTGAAGCTAGAGAAATAATGAAAACAAGGTAAAATAAAATAATTTTATTACAAATAAGTTATTAATCCATTTGTTTATATATAGATTTGAGATAGAGAAAAAACTGAAACGTGCTAAAAAAAAGGAAATGAAAGAACAAAAGTCATTAGAAAGAAGTATGTCTTCAAACAGATCAGACTCGCCATATTCAAGTTCTATTCCTTTAGATTTAAAAGATCGTGTGAAAGAAAGAAAGAAAAATGTAGAAGAAAATAAAGGGAAAGGAGACAAAAAAGTTGCAATGACCTTGTTAAAAGCAAGAAGAGAAGAAAAACGAGAAAGAGGTTTGTTCAATTTTAATACTTTAAATAACGGTTATATTCAAAAAGAAATCTTTGTTAAATTTTTACATTAAAATCTATCACTTAAAAAAGAAAAATAATGCCATATTCTTAATCATTTAAAAAAAAAAAATATTTAATAAAAAAGATTTACAACAACTATTATGTTTAAACAATGAATTAAAGTTGATTATAATTACTGATTATTAATATTTTAACTTATGAATTGTATTTGTTATATTATCATAGAAGAAGAAAAGGAAAAACAACTTAAAAAAGACATGGAAAAAAAAGGAGACGATGATGATGAAGAAACTAGTGATAAACAAAATGATCAGAATCAATCTAAATTAAAAGCTTCAGATATTTATTCAGATGATAGTAATTCTAGTGATAGTGATACTAGTAATTCAGTTAAAAAATCAAACCGTCACTTCTTTGACTCCGACTCTGATACTAAGTAAAAAATTCTAATAAACTGTAGACAATTAAAATCATAGTAATGTTTCAACAATTTTAGTGAGAAAAAAGTACATTATATTACAAAACGAGAAGAATTGAATAAGATTAGATTGTCAAGATTTAAAATGGAAAAGTAATTCACCATTTTAATATTTATTTTTTTGTTGTCTATTCATATTTACTTAACACACTTTTTAGGTTTGTGCACTTGCCAACATTTGAGAAAACTGTTATAGGATGTTTTGTTCGTATTGGAATTGGCAATTATAATGGAGTTCCAGTTTATCGAGTATGCTTTTATATCGATTTATGTGTATAACATTTTTAATATTTTTATACTTTAAAAGGTTGCTGAAATTTGTGATGTTTGTGAGACAGCTAAAGTGTATCAGTTGGGAAGTACTCGTACTAACAAAGGATTAAGACTTAAGTATATAATTATTTATATTAATAAGTTATAAAGTTATATTTTAGTATCAATTCTGGTGTTGTTATTTTTTTAGGCATGGCACTAATGAAAAAGTTTTTCGTTTGGAATTTATAAGCAATCAAGAGTTTACAGAGAGTGAGTTTGTTAAATGGAAAGAACTCTGCAACACGAATCGAATACCATTACCTACTCTTGATGAACTTGAAATTAAAGTGAAAGATATTAAAGCTGCTCTGGCATATCAATTTAAAGAAGAAGATGTTGAACAGGTATTCAAGTTAATCATTTTTGAATATTAAATAATTTATAACATTTTAAATTAAAATATCTTTTAGATTGTTCGAGAGAAAGAACGTTTCAAAACAAACCCTCATAATTATGCAATGAAAAAGACTTCATTAATGAAAGACAGAGATGATGCACAGGCGCTGTAAGTATTAGATATACAATAATAAAATGTTGGTGTTGTAAATTTTAATAATAATAGAATTAAAAATTTGTACCTTATCTCATTTGTTCTCAACTAAAGTTTAATTTGTTTAATAAGTAAAAAAGTAATTATTGAGGTATTTGGTACAATAAACAAAAATGAAAAGGTTATTATTATGCTACTTCAGTTTTGAAAAGTAAAAATAGTTGTTAACAATTTAATAGAGAGGACCATGTAAGTTAAAGAAATGTGTTATTTTGGATAACATTGTTCATTTTGTTTTAATTAAAATGTAGAAAAATGTAAAACATTTAGTTTCATTTAATTTTAACATTAAGTTTAGCGAGAAATTGGTTTGTTTTAATGTAATAGATAAATTAGCTTTTAAAATTATTAGTGATAATAAGTCTTGTTTTACATTTAAAACAAATTATGAAAATATTAGAAACAACTAGTTAATAATTATATATAATGTGTACTTATAATAAAGTTTGATGATAAAAAAAAATATAATTTTTAATTTCATATTACAATTTGAAATATCAATAATTCAATCTAATATAATTTAGGATAAATTTGATTTTGGATACTTCAATTATTGTACTGTATCATTAGGTCTATAATATTTTGATACTTTTTTTTTTTTTAATAAATAGTGGCAAAGTAGAAGAAGTTTTGAGAATTGAACAACAGCTATCAGATTTAGAAGAGCGAGCTAATCATTTAGACAAAATGAGAACAAGCACAATATCTAGTATAAGTTACATAAATGATAGAAACCGTAAGCGGAACGTTGAAGAAGCTGAAAAGGCTATTCTGGTAAATTACTGTGCTTAATAAAATTCTAAGATTTAAGAAATATAATATTGTATTAAATATTATAGGAGGAACTCAAGGCTAATAAAGGGAAAAAAATTGATGACCCATTCACTCGTAGAAGTACCAAACCATGTATGAAGTTTAGAGCAAAAACAAATTCTGCTGTTGATGGTTCAATGGCTTCAGAAGTTGAAGAATCTAAAACTGATGCTGAAATTAATGACATTAAGGTAAATAAATAAAAATTAGAGTTTTAATAATACGATACATGAAGTTTAATACAAATTTTATTGATGGTTTTTAGAATGATAGTAGTTCATCAAAAAGCAATGTGATGAAGGGTGATGATTTATATGCAGTACATGATTTTGATATTGACTTAAACATACAGTTACCAATTTAGGTATATTATTTTAATATGTATAAAAAAAAAAAAAAAACAGTTCTTGTGAGTTATTTTGTAAATATATTAAGTAAAATAACTATTATAGAATCGTGACTTGTAATTTTTTGTGTATCTATGATTATATTAACTTAAAAAATTATGATTAGTTAAGCATTTACTTAGAAATTTGTGTTATTCCTCATAGATTTCATTTATGTAGTAAATGTACTTAAATATCATATTATATGTATTTATCAAAAATAATCTATATATATTAGATATAAGTTGAAGGTAATTAATAAAACATCTTTAATGTAGATCATTGATATGACAACATTGTAAAGGTGAAAACTGATATAATTTGGATTTGATGACAGTAATATTAATAATTAGAAATAAGTAATATATGTACTAAATTAATTGTTTATAATTTGAACAAGTAATAAGTTTTAGTTGTAGTGTTTTGTTATTATAGTTATAATAGCATACATTTTTATTATAAGAAAACTAAAATTATATTTAAATTTAATTTGCCTAGAAAATATATTTCTCATTCTTATACCCTAATTGTTGTTGTCATTACAAAGTAATGAAATAACAGTTCAATTATACAAATAGTATAGTTGAAAATAATTTATGTTTCTTGTAATTATTATACATGTCAAAACTTATTCAAAATAGTTTTTCCTACTTACTGTAACACTTTTATGTATGAACTTAAATAAGTATATTATCCAAAAAGTTAAAAATTTGAAACTAGTTAGTTTTATTAAAATAATTTTTTTTTTTTTTGTAATTTTCAATTCTTACTCATTGAGATGTATTTCATCTATTATTATCTAATATAATGAAACTATTAATTTCGGTTTAATTACATACATTTAAGATTTAGTAAAGTGTAATTGCTTAAGAATTGTGTTTTCATGGTTAATGAGAATGTTGGTATTTCATTCTCTTGCAGTAATTTTAGAAGGGTATTTTGATGTTGAATTTCTCCATTCCTTTTTAATGTTAATTAATTAATCAACAAATATAACTTTTAAGATAATTATAAATATTAATTGACTAGACTGTTAAAGATATTAAATCTGTTTTCACTAGTACTCACCATAAATAGTTCCTAATTACGACATTGAAGATTCAACAATTATTCTAATGCTCGTATTAACTATGTAGGTATGTCTAATGATTTTAGATTGTATTTTGAAGATTAATGCAGTTAAGATAATATTTAGAATACAAAATTAAAAATATTTCATAGTGATCTAAGAATACTATAATATAATATTACTATAATATGATTATAACAATTCGATTTAGTTTCCCTATTTTTAAAACCCATATGCGGACTATGTATTATTCTCTTATTTTAACTTTTCTTATGTTATTAATAAATTTGTATCAACAAATATTTTTTTTTTTATCTTTTTATATATATTATTTTATTTTTTTTTCCTAGGGAATCTTGAGTTTTGTTATGTTAATTCCATTTATTGTGTATAAATATAATTTTTTTGTTTCTGATATACTGTTGAGATTACTTTTCATGATAAATAAAACACAAAATATTATTTATATTGTGCTGTTTAACGGTATACAATTTTTTTTTTTTTTGTTTTGTTTTTATTTTGGTGTTACAAATTTCAACAGATAATATTTCATTTCATTTGCAATGTTGTCTTATCTTTAATATTTGCTGAAATGTTTTCAAAATTACAAAACTAAAATTAATTCGAAAATCATAAAACAGTGTTGCAATAGAAGAATGGTTTCAAATAATCATTCTCAACAGTTATTGGTTTAGTTTTTATTTTCTGGGAGTGAATTATTATTTCAAGTGTGATTGAATCATAAGGTCATGTGTTACAACTTACATGGTTTATTATGTCATGAATGTTTTGTGTTCAAAATATTATAATGTAATTTTTTTATAGTTTTGAAAATTTCAAAAATTATAAATTATTAAATTGATTAAAATTACAGTTAACAGTGATTTATTTTATTTACAATAGAAACATTTTGGTATTATCAACGATTATATTTAAGTTATGATAACAAAATCAATAATTGCATAGTATATTTCAATTATGAGCGATTGTGAGTAAATATTCTTGTTTAAAGTAATCTTTGTTTATAAGGATATGTGAACAAATTTATTTTATTTTATTATCATCAGTTGTTCTTTTACATTTTAATAGCAGCGTTTACCAAATTATGAGGTGAGTCTCTTTGAAAGTCACAAGAACTTCACAAGTGCGGTGTGAGGTAAATTTATCAATATTACCATAGATTATAAAACTATTTTACTATATAATCAATGATCATATTACCTATAGTGTTTGTAATATGAATTGTGTATACTATACAGTTTACATCAATAAAAAATGTTTCATTAATAAAAAGCAGGTGAGGTTAAATTTTTTATTTTTGAGAATGTTAATCTTTATTGTTTGAAAACACCTGTTCTAGAGTCATGTCAATTTCATTTTTAAATTTGTATTAATTCAAAAATAAAAACAATCAAGAAAACGCATGCACGTTAATAAATTGCTAAATATTTGTACTAGGTCAAGCCAATATTCTATTAATTTTTTGTGCTAAGCCGTATTAACTGTTCCGAGTTAACTATACATTGTTCTGGCACAGACTACATTTCTAGAGGGTAGAGGGAAAAGTGGTTGGTTGGTTCTACTTTTAATCAGTGATTAATAAGTTTATTTATGAGAATACTACTCTAAATCATCAAACATAATAATAAGATAAAATCATTAATCTTGTAATACAAATAAGTATATTATTTCTAACATTCAAACATACGACCTTCCGTAGACGAAAGTTTTGAAATTATTTTACTTTTGATCATTACGTTCGTATTTCTAACTCAAAACAAATATCCAACATATAAAAATAATTTTTTTCTTTTTTTATTTCCTAACAATTAAAAAATTATTCAATAACAATTAAATGTTAATTACAAACTTAAATTATTTATGTTTAGTATTACATCATTTGTTAGTTTTTATACAATAATAAGAAGACATGTAAGACATATGATGTATGCCATATAATTTTTTAATGACTATTTGTGAGATCTGCATAAATAGGTGGCACACTTTTCTAAATCTCGATCGTTTTTACTGTAGTACTTGTTGAAGTTTATACGGTTGGCCAACGAATGCAAAGCCTCTTGGTCATCAGTCGATACTTTAATGAGTTTTTTCAAAAATTTCACTAAATCAACCTAAAGCACAGACAAAGAGTTTTGATTAATAAATATCTTTATAGATGCATAATAATAGCACCTTAAAGTCAAAACTTAGATTTAAAAATTATTTGGCGTTACATATTTTTTATATTATGTAACAATTTGTAACCAGAAATAACTACTATGTAACCTTGCCGGAAAACCACAATATACATTTTTGGATTCCAGGGTAAACATGCCATGTAAGTACACCATTTCTGAACTCATCATATACATTAAGACTTTTTATTTGTTATTTATCTATATGCAAATGCTTTATAGTGTTCTGTTGTCACTCTAAGGCTCCATCTGTTTAAACCACAAGATCCTTTAGCCTTTCTTAAGAAATTAGTGGCATCATTAAATTATTATGTTTTTGGTATGTAATTTAAGTGCAACTAAACTTTTCTTGCATAATTATTTTGAATAGTAGTTTTTTACTTATGTCACATATTGTGCTTGTTGATGCTTCTAGATATAAGAACATGATTTAATATTGTTTAGTGTTAGAATTGTTTGATTTGTTTTTTTTTTTATAAACAAAATAATTGTTTATTAAATCTTTATTGAATAAAAATATACACCAAGTACCTGTAGGTAAATGGTTTGTCATTTAAAAAGTTATAACCCGATTACTTTTGTATCCACGATACTCAAAGCCTATTAATAAATATTTAACAAGAATAAAGCGTTAGGTTATCACGAAAGCGCCATTTATATGTCAGGTGTGCACACGAGTGCATCTAATGGTACTTTTTGATTTTGTTTATGGTTACAAACTGTTCCATAATAAATAACATAATACAATACAATTTTTAAGTCAAACCGTTGATTTTGGGACACATCTTAAATATATGACAAATCAATAAAATATAAATTATACTACCTTATACGAATTACTGATTTCCTTGATGATATTTTCATATCTGTCAACTTCTAACAAGAATGCCTCTTTTGTTTCTGCATCATTGTTCTCAATTTCATTGCACGTACCATGCTCTTCGATATACTTTTCTAGGTCTTTGCGTCTAATCAGTTCTTGTTCAGATTGGCTATGAAACCTTTCTTGAATGCCTCGAAGTTCCAATACTGATTCGAATAGTTGACGCATTTTTTTAGATAAATCCTGTAAAAGGAACAGTCTATTAAGATTTAGGTTATTATCAGTTGTGTATCTAAATATATTATGTCACAGAGGAAAGCAGCAAATATTGGAGTTGGATCTGAACTTATAAATTAAACATTAAATCCGTGATGGAAAATTAAATTATATTAGAGTATAGTATAAGCATCCTTATAAGTCCTCCAACTAACATTTAACTAATAAACTATTTAACTCTAATAAACCTTTATACCTATAGGCGGGTTAAAATTTTGAGAAAGCTATAGCGTTCCCTTACTATCAAAATTAAACAGTGCAAAAAAAACAATACCTTTTATGTCATATTATTAGTAAAAATTCATATGAAAATAATCTACTCCACAATGAAACAAACAATAATGTTATTTGTACATAGTTGCATATAATAAATAAATAATAAGAACATTGCTCGATGTACAATATTGTAAAGCATGTATTTTATGCTAGGTTAATATATATTAAGGTTGATAATAATATTTAAATTGAGAGAAGTTATTTTTTAATGTGTGAGAGTGGGGTTTAAGCTAAGTTTTCTTCACAGAACTATTATGTCAGTAATAAAAACATTATCAATTTACATGAGTTTCTTCAGTTTGTACTGATCTCTTAAAGATGTTTTTTAAGAACTGGTTATGCGCTTCAATCACTGTCTCCAGCAAGGACGCTTTGTTGATAGCCTCTCGAAAGTGTTCCCATTC